CTCGCGGAGTCGGATTCCTGGACAAGTTGTCACATAAGCACATTTTGTGCAGAGGCTTCTCCGCGTCTGGCAGCCCGGCCCCCGCCCCGGAGTCATGTCCCCCACCACGTCCCTCGCCCCGGAGTCACGTCCCCCACCACGTCCCTCGCCCCGGAGTCACGGCCCTCACCCCGGCGGTCACGTCCCCCGCCCTGGAGTCATGTCCCCCACCACGTCCCCCACCACGTCCCTCGCCCCAGTGGTCACGTCCCCCACCACGTCCCCCCCCCCCCGGAGTCACGTCCCCCACCACGTCCCCCCCCCCGGCGGTCACGTCCCTCACCACGTCCCTCACCCCAGTGGTCACATCCCCCACCACGTCCCTCGCCCCGGCGGTCACGTCCCCGCCGCATGCTGGCCCGCTCGGTGGCGCCGGCCCGAGGTTTCCAAGCTGGAGGGTGAGTCAGCGCCTCATGCAGCGCGGCTGGGGGGGGGGGGCGGAAGCTTGTCGTCACCAGCTGTGCAGTCGGGTCTGGAGCCGGGGCCTGTGCTGAGCCAGCCTTCTAGGGTTCGGCGACCTGCCCGGGGCTCCCCGTCTGTGGCCCCAGGACGAGGCCTGACGGTCATCCGGCCGCTGTCAGCTCGCCCCGTGACCCAGCATTCCGAGGGGCAGGCGCCGCGGGGGGCCGGGGGACAGAGGCCCTGCCGGTCCAGGCTTCCAGCTGGTGCGGAGGAGGGAGGCTCGGCATTCGGCAGCCACAGGCCTCTCCCTGGCACAGGCTCTGTTGGCCGGGGGCCGGAGGGGGCAGGGCTCCGGGCTGTGGGGTCAGTGCTGCAGGCTGTGGGCTCCGGGCTGTGGGGTCAGGGCTATGGGCTCTGGGTGGGCTCCGGGCTGCGGGCTGCGGGCTGCGGGCTGTGGGGTCAGGGCTCCGGGCTGCGGGCTGCGGGCTGTGGGGTCAGGGCTCCGGGTGGGCTCCGGGCTGTGGGCTCCGGGCTGCGGGCTCCGGGCTGCGGGCTGTGGGGTCAGGGCTCCGGGTGGGCTCCGGGCTGTGGGCTCCGGGCTGCGGGCTGTGGGGTCAGGGCTCCGGGTGGGCTCCGGGCTGTGGGCTCCGGGCTGCGGGCTCCGGGCTGGGGGCTGTGGGGTCAGGGCTCCGGGCTGCGGGCTCCGGGCTGCGGGCTCCGGGCTGCGGGCTGTGGGGTCAGGGCTGCGGGCTGCGGGCTGCGGGCTGTGGGGTCAGGGCTCCGGGTGGGCTCCGGGCTGTGGGCTCCGGGCTGCGGGCTGTGGGGTCAGGGCTCCGGGCTCAGGCTGCCAGCACAGCCTCCACAGAATGAGGCTGAAGAGCTGCCTCCCTTGGGTGCTTCTGGGAGGCATGCCCGGTGCTGGCTGGGTCCTGGGCCTGCCTTGTTCTTTTTATTTAGTACATTTTTATTGATTTTTTTTTTAGAGAGAGAGGAAGGGAAAGGGATAGAGAGATAGAAACACCAATCGGCCACCTCCTGCATGCCCCCTGTTGGGGATGGAGCCCACAACCCGGGCTCCCGACCAGGTATGGGGAATCGGCCCCTGACCTCCTGGTTCCTGGGTTTCCTGAACGGCAGGGTGTCAGGTCCCGGAGCCCCGCCGGCCGGGCCGCCTGCTCTCGCCATCGCCCTCCTGGACGCGTGGGGAGCGTCTCCCGGGTCCGAGCCGAGGAGCAGACGGAGCGCTGAGAGGGGACTCTGCCCAGCGCCGGCCCAGCCCCTCGTGGTCTCCGCTCAGGCTCCTCTCGGGGCTTCTTTCAGTGGCTCAGCCTCCGGTTCTGATCTGACACTGGTTTTCTGGTCTGGGACGCGGCCGCTCTGGGTGAGCAGACCGTGGGAACAGGACGTGTGGCCGTGCTGGGGGGACTGCTCCTTAAGACCATCGGGCCGGGGCCTTCCAGGGCCCCCGAGGCCCATGGTGTCCCACCCAACGGTGCACCGGACGATGCCCACCCAGCCGAGCCCGGCCTGCCAGGCTGCCCCCCGGTTTCAGATCACACGAGCAAGGCCCTCAGGCGGGGCAGCATCACGGGGTGCAGCCTGGTGTGCCCTGGGCCCACGCTCGCCCCACTGCGGGACATGGGGCTCCTGATGGACTGGGGCCCGGGCCGCTGCGGGACTCGGGGGCTCCTGATGGACTGGGGCCCAGGGCCTGCTCCACCAGGCCCTCGGCTCTGTGAACTGGGTCAGGGCACGGGTGCCGGGCACGGCCCGCAGGCTGAAGCTGATTTGAATTTTGGGAACAGGCCGTTCCGCGGAATAAAGGAGGATTCATCCCTCTTCCCTCGGACACACTGCGTCCTGTTTCCAGATCCGGCTCCCGTCACCCGGCGAGGAATTGGGTTGCACGATTGTTCTCGCCGAGAGCGAGGGCTGGCTGCTAGCCGGTGCCCGGCCTGGCTCTCCGCCGGACACCGGGGCCGCCCCCCCGCACCGCGGGGGCCGAGGCCAGGCCGCGACCTGGAAGGGAGGCCCGGATGCCGAGCGGAGCGCCCGCCGGGCACCCGGACACACGGTCCCGCTCTGCTGCTCTCGTCCGGGAGGTGCTGGGATTTTAATTCTGCCAAAAACTTTTTAATTAAAAAAAACCCTATGGATTTCAGAGAGGAAGGGAGAGGGAGAGAGAGGAATAGAAACGCCCATGAGGAGAGAGAATTGTGGATCGCCTGCCTCCTGCACCCCCCCCACTGGGGATGGAGCCCGAAGCCTGGGCCTGGGCCCTGACCGGGAATCGAACCCTGACCTGGTTCACAGGCCGATGCTCAGACTCTGAGCCATGTCGCCGGCCTAGACAATAATTGTGGAAACGTATCAACACTCTGTGTGCGTGTGTGTGTGCACGCGCGTGTGCATGTGTGTGTACACGTGCTGTGTGCGCGTGCATGTGTGTATGCATGCGTGTATGTGTGTGTGCGCGCGTGTGCGTGTGTATGTGTGCGTGTGTGTGTGTGTGTGTTCCTCCCGTGAGGACGTTGTTGGGACGGTGGGAAGTTTTCTCTCTGAGTTCCGGGGCGCGGGCTCCGGGAGGCGACGCGGGCGGGTGCCGGACTCGCCGCTCCTCATGCGGACGGGGAGCCGGTCCCCCCGCTGGCCGGAGTCCCGCAGAGGCCACCGCTGTAAGCGACAGGAAGTGCCGGCTGCTCGGGGTGGCCTGTGTGTGTGACACAGCAGCCAGGGCTGTCGGTGGTGGCGGGCAGTCGGTCTCGGGTGCCGGGCTCCCTCCTCCGCGGTCCCGGCTTTTCGGATTCTGGGTCCGAGGCCGCCGCTCGCCGCCCGGGTCTCTCCTGAGAGCTGCTCGGGCGCCGTGGCCTCTGCGCTCCCACAGGCCGTGGACCCTGCGCCTGGCTCTCCAGACCCCGAGCGCCCGCCGGGCCTGTGGTCCCTGCTGGGGCTCCTCCCTCGCTGGCCCTCCGGAGGTCAGCGGGGGCCACAGCGGGTCTGAAGGCCGCGGGCCAGGCCGCTCCCCCTGTTCGAGGGGCGGCCTCAGGAGGTGCCGGAGCCGGGCGGCTCTGGGACCCTGCAGTCCTGTCCCGCCGCTGCGCTCGGAGCCGGGCCCACCCTCTGCCCGTCTGGGAGCCGGTGTTTCCCGGGTGCTCGGTGCGATGCCATGAGGTCACAGCTGCTTTCTCTATTCTCTCTCTTTACGAAGGTTTCTATGGACGTCAGAGAGGCAGGGAGAGGGAGAGAGAGACAGAAACACCAGTGATGAGAGGGAACCATGGACCGGCTGCCTCCTGCACGCCCCCCACTGGCGATGGGGCCTCCACCTGGGCCTGTGCCCTGACGGGAATCGAGCCCTGACCTCCTGGCTCCTAGGTCGGCGCTCACCGCTGAGCCGCCCCACGGAGGCCTGTCTGCTGGGCTTTTCGGGGGCCGTGCGCTCAGGGCCGCTGCTCTCTGGTGACCCGTCTGCAGAGTTCGGGGAGCTGGGCCCACCTCAGAGGGTTTCTGTGGGAAATCCTCTCCGAGGGGAGAGGGGTGGTGCGCTCTGGGGTGTTGGAGCTGGGACAGCCCGTGGGCTCAGGCTGGAGGCAGCCGGCCCGTTTCAGAGACGGGGCACCGGCGGCCGAGGATGGATGGACGGGGTTTCCCGGCGCCCAGGCCCCGTCCTCCCGCGCCCCGTGCCGCTGCCGGGGGGAGGGGCAGGCCGAGCACCCTCCGGTTTGTGTGGGAAACGGCAGTTCTGTCTGCTGGAAAGTCCCGGGTCTCCCTGCTCTGGCGCCTCGTTGTCAGAGGAGCCGGTTGGCGGTCCTCGGCGCAGGGTCTGACCCTCGGTTCGCAGGGCCTCGGGGCCCTCCGGGGCGCTGGGCTGGCGGGGATGACCGGCCCGGCCCGGCCCCTCCCAGGAGCCGGGGCCGAGGACACCACAGGCTGCTCCAGCCGGGCCGGGCTGGGCCTGTGCCGGAGGAACGTCCCCCTGATGGATTTCTCCGGCTGGAGGCTCAGGGAGACCCCCCAGCACAGACCAGACCTGGGCGCCGGGGTGTGTGTGTGTGTGTGCTCAGTCAGTGCTCAGTGCGGGTGCGATGCCTGGTACTGTTCTCACCGTGAAGGCGCAGCGTGCCCACGGGGGCGCCATCTGGGACCCTCTGCTTTCCGAGCGTAACCTGGGCGACGCCTGCCTGCAGCCCCGGGCGGGTGGGAACGAGGGCCGGGGGCTCCGGACGCGGAGAGGAAGGGGGCGGGAGGGGGTGCTGGCAGGAACCTGGGGGCTTTGTCCTGCCCGGAAGCTGCAGGAATCACTCTGCACCTTAGACATCTGGCTGGCAGGAGCGGCTCCGCTCAGGGGAAGGGGCCCACCCTCCTCAGCGAAGGGCTCAGCCCGTGGCCCCGAAGGGAGTCTCCTCTCAGCGAAGGGCTCAGAGCCGTGGCCGGGCCTCTCACGGACACGGAGGCTGGGGGCCTGCGGGGGGCGCTGGTCCCGGAGGCCGGGGAGGGAGGGGGCGGGTGCTGAGCGGGTCCCAGCCCCACGCTGACTGTCTCCCTCCGCACGGTCCCAGGGCAGGACGACCCCAACAGTCTGCGCCACAAATACAACTTCATCGCCGACGTCGTGGAGAAGATCGCGCCCGCCGTGGTGCACATCGAGCTGTTCCGCAAGTAAGAGCCGTCCCCCGGCCCGGGCGGCGCCCTGCACCCCGCCCTGCACCCCGCCCTGCACCCCTGACCTGCTGCCCCCTCCCCATCCCTGCACCCCGGACCTGCTGCCCCCTCCCCCTCCCTGCACCCCGGACCTGCTGCCCCCTCCCCATCCCTGCACCCCGGACCTGCTGCCCCCTCCCCACCCCTGCACCCCTGACCTGCCGCCCCCTCCCCAGCCCTCTGGAGGGAGTGAGGGACTCGGGCTTGGAGAGATTCCTGTTGGGAAGCTCCATAGGGAATCAGTTTTGTTTGGCTAATCCTCCCCCGTGGATTCTCAGAGGGAGTGGAGAGAGGGGGAAAGACAGAAACACGGTGTGAGAGAAACGGCCACAGTTCCCTCCGGCCGGGGAGGAGCCGGCCCCGAGACACGTGCCCTTGACCGGAACCGAACCGGACCCTTCAGTCCACTGCCTGACGCTCTGCCCACTGAGCACCCCGGCAGGGGAGTGGGTGTTTCGTTTCCTGTAAAAGTCGGCCTGCGCAGGGGTCGGCAAACTGCGGCTCTCGAGCCGTGGTTTGCTGCTCCGTTGACTAATGAGTTTGCCGACCGCTGCGTAAGGCAGTGCCCTCACCCAGAAGTTCTGACTTCAGGTTGAAGACATTAGTGCATTATTAAATTTTTACTGTTTTCCCTAAGGCAGTGGTCTGCAAACTCATCAGTCAACAGAGCGTTGGCTCTCAAGACGCAGTTTGCCGGCCACTGGCCTCATGTCCCGCCTCCCCCTCCCTCCCTCCCTCTTTCTAATCCTCGTTGAGGATGCTTTTCTCACTGGTTGTTAGAGGCGGGAAGAGGGCAAGAGGGAGGAGGGACGTGGAGACACGGATGTGGGAGAGACGCCTGGAGGGTTGCCTCTGCACACACGCACCCCGACCAGGGCTGGGAGGAGCCGGCCACCCGTCCCAGAGCCGGACCTGTGGTCCTGGTGCTCGGCCGAGGCTCTAACCACTGAGCCGCCGGCCGGACGCAGCCCCTGACGTCCGGGACCCAGCGGTGCAGGGACGGCGGGGCCGCTGGGCCTCGGTGCGTCCGGCTCAGGCGCCCGGTCCCGGCTCCCAGGCTGCCCTTCTCCAAGCGGGAGGTGCCGGTGGCCAGCGGCTCGGGCTTCATCGTGTCGGAGGACGGGCTCATCGTGACCAACGCCCACGTGGTGACCAACAAGCACCGGGTGAAGGTGGAGCTGAAGGACGGCGCCACCTACGAGGCCAAGATCAAGGACGTGGACGAGAAGGCCGACATCGCACTCATCAAGGTGGACCATGAGGTCAGTCTCCCCACAGCCCCGGCCGGGGGCGGCCCCGTCAGCCCGGGGCGGCCAGGGATGGGGGGGGGGAGGGCCCGTCAGCCCGGAGCGGCCAGAGACAGGGGGGGGGGGGGCGGCCCCGTCAGCCCGGGGCGGCCAGAGACGGGGTGGGGGGGGCCCGTCAGCCCGGGGCGGCCAGAGACGGGGTGGGGGGGGCCCGTCAGCCCGGGGCGGCCAGAGATGGGGGGGGGGGGCCGTCAGCCCGGGGCGGCCAGGGATGGGGGGGGGTGTCAGCCCGGGGCGGCCAGGGATGGGGGGGGGGGTGTCAGCCCGGGGCGGCCAGGGATGGGGGGGGGGAGGGCCCGTCAGCCCAGAGCGGCCAGAGACGGGGGGGGGGGGGCGGCCCCGTCAGCCCGGGGCGGCCAGAGACGGGGGGGGGGGGTGCCGTCAGCCCGGGGGGGCCAGAGACGGGGGGGGGGGGGGGGGCCGTCAGCCCGGGGCGGCCAGAGACGGGGGCAGGGGGGCCCCGTCAGCCCGGGGCGGGTGTGTCCGGTCTGGGCCGAGGGCGGGTGTGGGGGCGCTGAGTGCGGCCCTGGGGGCGGGGGGACGGGGGACGGGTCTCATGGAGGCTTCCATTAGAAGCAGGCGATACGATCCAAGAGGTTTTGGTTTGTTTTTAAAATGCGTACGTGTATGTGTTTTTATTGATGTCGGAGAGGAAGGGTGAGGGAGAGAGAAACATCCCTGATGAGAGAGAACCATCAATCGGCTGCCTCCTGCACGCCCCCCACGGGGGTGGAGCCCTCCACCTGTGCCTGTGCCCGGACCGGGACTCGAACCCTGACTGCCTGGTTCCTAGGTCAGTGCTCAGCCCTGGCCGGCGGGAAGGCAGGGTGCCCGGTGGGGGCACCGCGGTTAGAAAGGGTCCCAGAGGCGGGAGTCTCGCCGTCCCCGCACCGCGGCCCCCACCCAGACTCTCGGCTCCACCGAGCCCGTGGCACCCGCCGTGGCTCCTGGGTGTGGCCGGGGTGTGGCCTGGGTGCTGCCTCACCGAGCGGCTCCCGCTGGGACACTGGGGCCACGTCCCTGCTCCGTCCGCCGGGCGCTCAGATTTGGAGCCAGTGGGTGTTGCAGGGGCATCTGCCCATCCAGGCAGGCGGAGAGCCGGCAGGCAGCTCGGCGGAGCGCTGGGCCTGGCTCCTGCTGCAGCGGCTGTCCCCTCGGCCTCTCTCTGGCGCCGGTTTGCCAGCTTCTCCTCCTGTTGGAGCTCCCCGCCCCCTCCAGCCCTCTCTGCCCCCCTCCCAGCCCCCTCCCCCTTCAAGCCCCCCTCCCCCTTCCCAGCCCCCTCCCCCTTCAAGCCTCCCTCCCCCCAAGCCCCCCTCCCCCTTCCCAGCCCCCTCCCCCTTCAAGCCCCCCTCCCCCCCACCCCCTTGGCCTGAGGAGGCTTCTCCCAGCGAGTGCTGAGCATGAGGACTCGCTGCTGGGAGAGGCCCAGGTCCCTGGAGTCAGAGGAGGGTCCCCACAGGGTCCCCTCGGCCTGGGGCCCTGAGCCCCTCTCCTGGGTGGGCCAGGCTGGGAGGGGCCGGGCTGGGTGGGCTGGTTGGGGGGCCGGGCGGGGAGGGGCAGGCGTGGGGGGGGGCCGGGCTGGGGGGGCCAGGCCAGTGGGGCCAGGGGGACCGGGTGGGGTTGGTGGGCTGGGCGGGGGGGCCAGGCTGGGGGGGGCAGGCTAAGGGGGCCCGGGGGGGTCCGGGCGGGGTTGGTGGGTCGGGCCAGGGGGGAGGGGCCGGGCTGGGGGGGGAGGGGCCGGGCTGGGGGGCGCTGGTTGGGGGGCCGGGCTGGGGGGCCGGGGGGGGGCCGGGCGGGGGGAGGTCCGGGCTGGAGGGTGCTGGGCCAGGAGGGAGGAGGGGCTGCAGGCTCAGTACCAGGAAGCAGCTGGAGGGCAAACCAGTTCAGCGTTGGAGCAAAGTGTTTCCACATGTGCCCGCCCGCGGCCCTGCCTGCAGACGTCCGTCCGTCCCAGGCAGCCTGTCTGTGCCGCTGAGGGGGGAGGGAGAGGGGGGAGGAGCGGGAGAGAACAGAGGCGTCTGCTCTGGGCCGGAGACCGGGCGGAGATACTGGGATGTGCTAAGAGGATGAGAAGGGAGCCTGGCCAGCATGGCTCTGTGGTCAGTGTCGGCCTAGAACCAGGAGGTCAGGGTTCCCCCGTCAGGGCACATGGGTTGCAGGCTCCATGGCCAGTGGCGACGTGTAGGCGGCAGCCGGTCCATGGTTCTCTCTCATCATGGATGTTTCTCTCTCTCCCTCTACCTTCCTCTCTGACATCGGTAATTTTTTTAAAAAAGAGCTGAGGGGATGGTGCTCTGACAGCTGTGCTGATCTGCAGACAGAGGAAGGCACCCCACTCCCCCCGCCCCCCACCCCCATGAGGGCAGGCTCTGATGGTGGGGTCTGTCTGTGCACAGCCCTGCACCCCGTTCCTGAGTGGTCACTCCCGCAGGGCCCTGAGGTCCGGCTGGGGGTGCCCCTCCCTCTGCTTAGCTCCCCCCCACACCCCCAACACCTCCCCCTCTGCTTAGCCCCCCTCCCTCCACCCCCCAACACCTCCCCCCTGCTTAGCCCCCCGCACCCCCCCAGCACCCTCTGGGGACAGGCACACCTCACTGTCCGTTCCGCCCCCTCTCCCTGTTGCCGGCTCAGGTACTGGCTGCCGCTCACGCTGGGACCCCGTCTGTGGAAGGGCCCGTGGGAGAGCCCGCCGCTCGGAGGGAGGGGTGGGGGGGAGGGCACAGCCCCTGTGGGTGCTCAGATGGGTGGAGGGGTGCCAGCCCCCCCATGTTCCTGCCCACGTCCCAGCCGGCTCCCTGGGGTTGCCTGGGGGTGATGGCGCCCACTGGGCCCGGGCGGGGGGTGAGGGGGTCCCGGGCGCCGTCCCTGCCACCAGCAGCGGGGACACTGGGAAGCAGCTGTGGAGGCTGGGGTTCCTCCCCTTTCCGGCCCCAGTCGGTCCCGGCCGCCTTTGAGCCAGCGGCCGCCCCAGACCTGCTGGTGGGAGACGGGGAGCTGGGGCACGGCTCCGGTCCTTCGTGTGTGGGAATCTGCCCTGAGTTCTCCGGGGACCCCCCCCCCCCACGGAGCCGGGAGGAGCCGCATGACTCAGCGGGCCTCCGGCCAGCGGCGGCTCAGAGGCTGACGGCGAAGCGCCCGCCGGGCTCAGATAACACCGTCCGGCTCGGCTCAGGCTCCGCGGCTCCGCCTCCGCCCGCAGCCCGGAGCCTGGGCGTGGCCTGCGGGGCGCCCCCCACCGCCGTCCCCCGCCTGGTCCCCTGTGCTCGGCGGGAGGGAGTGGGCGCTGGCTGAGCCGGTGAAGGCACACTGGGCAGGGAGACTCAGGGGAGGCCGGACAGAAGCAGCATCCTGGGTGCTGGGCTCCCCTTTCTCTCCCTGACCCCATGGGCTGCCCTTAGACCGGCTAAAGGTGCCACCTCCGTGGCCGTCCGGTTCGTCTGCAGTGGTTTCTCCCGGGCCCAGAATCCATGTTTCTGGAGGCAGGGCCAGCACGAAGGCAGGGGAGGGGGAGGATGATGGGGGAGGGGGAGGATGATGGTGGGGGAGGGGGAGGATGATGGGGGAGGGGGAGGATGATGGTGGGGGAGGATGATGGGGGCGAGAGGATGATGGTGGGGGAGGGGGAGGATGATGGGGGCGAGAGGAGGATGATGTGGGAGAGGGGGATGATGGTGGGAGAGGGGGAGGATGATGGTGGGGGAGGGGGAGGATGATGGTGGGGGAGGATGATGATGGGGGAGGGGGAGGATGATGGTGGGGGAGGGGAGAGGATGGTGGGGGAGGATGATGGTGGGGGAGGATGATGGTGGGGGAGGATGATGGTGGGGGAGGGGGAGGATGATGGGGGCGAGAGGAGGATGGTGGGGGAGGATGATGGTGGGGGAGGGGGAGAATGGGATGATGGTGGGGGAGGATGATGGTGGGGGAGGGGGAGGATGATGGGGGAGGGGGAGGATGATGGTGGGGGAGGATGATGATGGGGGAGGGGGGGATGATGGTGGGGAGGATGATGATGGGGGGAGGATAATGCTGGGGGAGGGGGAGGATGATGGTGGGGGCGAGAGGAGGATGGTGGGGGAGGGGGAGGATGATGGGGGAGGAGGATGATGATGGGGGAAGGGGAGGATGATGATGGGGGAGGGGCGAGGATGGTGGGGGAGGATGATGGGGAAGGGGAGGATAATGATGGGGGAGGGGGAGGATGATAGTGGGGGAGGATGATGGTGGGGGCGAGAGGAGGATGGTGGGGGAGGATGATGATGGGGGAGGGGAGGATGATGGTGGGGAAGGATGATGGTGGGGGAGGATGATGGTGGGGGAGGGGGATGATGGGGGAGGGGGAGGAGGATGGGGGAGGGGGAGGAGGATGGCGGGGGGCGGGGTACGGGGCAGGGGAGGACGGCCCTTAGGAATGTGCCCGTCTCAGCTCGGGCCACCAGCCCCGGCCGCCCGCCCTCGTGTGTGCTCTGGCTCCGGTTCAGGAACGTAGCTGGTGGAAGGGAATTCTTTGGCTGGTTTTTCTCTTAATATGGTCCTGCCTCTTCCCAGGCACCGCTTCCCGGGTCCTGGCCTGAGCCTGTTGTTAAAGGTGCCGGCGAGGGTGGCAGGTCTCGGTCTGAGTTTGCCGGTGGCCCTGGGAGCGTCTCCCGGCCTCACCGAGGGGACAGGCCCCGGTGCCACCCGATAGGCTGGTGAGTGAGCGACAGCGGGCCATTTGCAGCCCTTACCCGGCCCTCCGTCCGCTGTTGTAAATAAAGTTTTATTGAAACACCGGCGTGCAGCAGAGTGGAGCTGCTAAAATGGAGACCACATGGCCCGGGGGGTCAGGGGGAGGGAGAAGCTGGCCGGGCTGACTTTGTTTTAAGGAAATATTAATCGGCCAAGTGCTGTCTGGCAGCGAGGCCAACACAAAGCCGGCAGGCCCCGGGGGCTCGGGGGCGGAGGGGGAGACAGAG